TTTGGTCCTTTTTCGCTTGGTTCACGTCAATTTTGCTACATTCATCACTTTGTTCTGCAAAACATAAATTGCATAGAGTTAAGCTATATTCCAACATTTTAATCAACGATTTCTCATGTTTTGACAGTAAAATAAGTATATAAAAACACACTTATCACGAGGCGTCCTTAATTATGGCGCCTCAATGATTTGATGTCGAGGTGCATTTCTAAGAAAAATGCCGATGAGGCGTTCAACTTCTAATACACGCAAGTCGCCTCATTTAATGCTCAATGATGGCTGTCTCCCACGCACCTTATGGATTCGAGACTCATGAGGGCGAGGGCGCGTACGCCAGACTCTTTAATCTGGGCCTTAGAAGACAAAGCATCAAATGTGCTGAGCCCTCAGATTAGGATTTTCAACTCAACGGTTGGATGACCTGGGTCAAGATCCAACGACTGAGGTAGAGTAGGTTTGCCTATAAAAGGTACAATTTTTTTAGAGAATATCTTTATATTTTGGTACGAATCTTCATATCTTATTTTCAAAATTTTTGAATTTGCAAGTCTTTGTTGAGAACCCTTCGAGCTTTTCTTTGTGAAATTCCTGTAAGTGTTTTTCTTTTTCAAATCCACATTTTTCTTCTCAAGATTCCCGCACATCTCAGTGTTCTTCTTCTCTCATTGTTCTTGGGAAAACCTGTAAGTATTGTAAAATTTTTGCTTTGTTGTTTCAGTTGTTTGTGAAGAGTCAAACAAAATCTGTGAATCAATGGCTTCTACACGGTCGAAAGTACATGTTAGTGGGTTGGCTAGTGAAATGGGTTTTCAAATTACCAATATAGCCGACCTCGTCTGAGTTGTTGAAGCAGGGCGAGGTGCTTCAACGTCTGGGGATGAGGGGATAGCCTGGGGGGCAACCAAAGTTCAATCCTATATAGATCCAACCCACCTTACAAATCTCAGGGAAAAATATAAGATCCCCTATGACATAGAGCTCTTATCCCCTTCCCCTGATGAGCGAGCTTGCCATCGGAGGTAGGGTTATGTCGCTATCAGCGAGTTTCTCCTAAAGGCTGGACTAGCTCCCACCCAGTACTTCCCTAACTCCTGGGCCCAATTAGTGGGGTCTTATTTCCTCTGAAAAGAGGTTTCTCTAGGCGAAGACATGGCCCTCCACGTCTTCCAAACCATTTATCAGCTTAGGTCCTTAGGCAAGGGGGACTCTAAGGGTTGGTACTCCTTGCGCCCATGGGGGCACATTCTCTTTTTGTGTTGGGTCTCCCTTCATCCATTAAAGGATGAAAGAAGACCTGGTTCTAGGTTCGGGGGAAGTGGCATGAGTGCGAGGTTAACACTGTCCCCTATGTTAATACCCCAACCTCCTACTCCGAACCTAGTGAGTATTATTTCTGCACTTTGTTTGTTACCACTTATCAAATTTTTTATTGATAGTGTGATCACTTCACAGGGTCTGTGAAGCGCTTTGACTTTAACGAGAACGACTGGGATATTTTGTCGGAAATCTACCGCAGACCCTCTTCGTCTCGCGACTTTGAGCGTCTAGTCCTTCCTCAGCGTTTATACGAAGACCTTTATCTAATGGATAGAAGAGGTATAACTTCGTTCACATTCATTCCTTGATTCGTCATTCATCTTTTTGCTCGTTAATTATGTTTGACCCTGTTTACTTTGCAGAAAACTTCGAAAAGAGGAACCCCCTACCCCCGACATGGCTACCATTTTAGCTACCACCTCAACAGCCGGTCGTAAAGGCATGAAACCCTCATCTGCTGGAGGAAAACAGTTGAGAGATAAGATAGAAAGGGTTAGCAAAGAGGCTGGTCCTCAGGAGGAAAGGCGTCTCTCCTAGGTGACTAGGGGAAAATTGTGGTCTTCGAGAAACCAAACAAGAAATTCAGGGTGTCCACCACCAAGATGGGTAGCTCTAACGACATTTCTCCTCCTTGCTCCGAGGTGCCTGCCAGGCAGAAATTGTTGGCGGCATTGATTGATGCAGCCTCTGGAAGGTAAAAATGGTCGACTGCCTCAGAACTTCATAGGCAAGAACCTGCCAAGAAGTCAAAGACTTCGAGCGGTTCCACAACTTCTGATTGCTCTCAAGGCAAGCCAGCCTTGGCCAGGAGGTTCAATGAACTAGAGTCTGAAGCTCTTGCACTTTTACCTCCAAAAATTCAGACAGCCAAGACGATGTTCTACCAATTTTGTTCTAAGAAGTGGCAGAACTTTGTTGAGACAAGGGAAGAGGTGGATGTCATCGCTACGATGGTGGTTCAACCTACGAGGTCGTTTGGTATGGCTATAGAGGTGAAGGCCCACTTTAAA